TTTGATATGCAGGATGGGGGGGAGGGGAGGGGTTGGGGAAAATGTAAAAGCAAACAACTGTAATTATGGTTAATTGTGAATCTGCTTTTTGTTTAAAGCTTCTCAGACTACTATATTTCTGAAAAACTTTTCTATAGAAAAATAATGTATAAAGGTACTTCACAGTCTCAGAATACAGATCAAAAGTTTGAATAGTACTTTTGCACAATACATCATGATTCACAACTCAGAAAAAAATTGGGATCACCACTTCTTACCATACATCCATTACTTCTTTTCCTTACTTTCAAGTAATGCATGCAGGAATTATTGATCTCTGGTGAAATATAGTTTGAAGCTAGTTTAAAAGGATACTAGACTGAGAGCCAGGGAGGTTCTACTTGGCTTGTCTGTAAACAACGCCTGGTATATTTGTGCTGAAATATACCCCCTTCTCTGGCCACCCTGAACCGTATCAGGGGACATGTACAACTCTTCCACCCCCAAGCATCCTGGCATCCAGCCAACACATCAACCAACCCCATGTGGCTCTTTTCTGGCGGCACATATAAGAATCCATCTGAGAAATTTCTGCTATAGTTGAGGTTTCAGCTGCATCACTCCGAACCTCAAGGCAAAGTGTCACTATACTGCACAAGTATCCTCACAGTGTCCCTGCAGAGGCAACATTTTCCTTGGCTCTCGGCTGCACATCCTCCCCCTCCTTTCACTCTTGCTTTGGAGTAGGGGATTCTTCTGGGTTGAAAACCATTAAAGGATCATCAGAGGCAGGATCAGGAAGGAAGAATGAAACAAGGAGGCATGAGGGCTGGAATGCAACTTGCATCACAACCATCATGAATTGTGAACTCCTGAATCAATCAGCAGCCCCTGTGTGTGATTTCTGTTTGTGATTTCTGACATAATATAGTTGCAAATCAAATCACAGCAAAGCCAAATAATTTTGATTTGCTCCAATGTAGTAACAGCTTACATTTGGTTAAATCCAGCCTAGTGGCTGAAAGCCTGTTGCTTAGTCTAATAAGCTATAAATAGAGTTGGCCTATTGAATCAATGGAACTTATGGAGATGTTGACTCACCAAATCCCCACTGATTCAATGGACGTACTTTAGCTGCAACTTATTATGGTAAGCAACAGGATTTCAGCCAGTATGTTTAAACGAAAGTCCACAAATAAATGGAATAATTCAGTTTAAAATATCACCACTACTACCTATGTACTTTAATGTTTTATTAATACTGTGACTGATAATGGTTAAAAAAAGTCTAATGATTTTTGGACATACACTGTGTCCACTGATTATGTCAACATTTGGAAATGAGGACTGATAATGTTGACAAGTCTGTTCCTCAAGTGATGATATCTCAGAGTTGAAGTACAGTTAAATTTGATCCTAATTAGGTTTTTCCAGCAAAAGTCTTTGTGCAGAGTGAAAGGCTATATATTGATGACACTGGAATATTGGGGTCAAATTGCTCTCTGCAGAGTGCAAGGGGAGCAGGCTTGTGTATGTACTGTAAAATATTATGAGAATATTAAGTGTATAATTATAAGGATGCCCAACTCTGTGTTAAAAAAAACCTGACTAAGTCCAATTAATCCAAACACCAGACAGACCACACAGAGGAAGTTGTCTGCACAATATATTCAGCATAATCAATTTCATCTGAGCCAAAGTCCAATTTTTTAAAACTTGTCTTTTTTCCTCTCTCAGTTTGCATCATTATATAATATAATAATAGTACAGGAGGTGACAAGGAGATATACTGTAAGTGCTTTAAAAGTTGATTAGGCGGGGAATTGTGAACTTAACAAGTTCCTCTTCCAATACAAGCCTAAAGTGCAAGTAAATATGACCCCCACCTCCTGATTAGTTTTGCAGTATGATCATCTACAAAATCTGTTCCATGACAGTTACTCCATTTCCCATTTCCTTGATGCCCAGTTGTACTGGGAAGTAATTAAAGGTGGTTTTCTGTGAGGCCCCAAAATTGTATCAATAAAGTGCCAGGAGCCTGGGAAATACTATTCTTCGTGGTGTTCAAGATCTCAGAAGGGCTGATAGAGATCCTCAGTACTGAAGATTCTGTTTGGAATGCTCATGGCTGTAGCTGTCATCTGTGAGCCTAGGCACTGGGAGGAGTAGTTTTTGATCTGTCCAAGGCATGTTTCCTATATTTTTTACACCTTTCCCAATTTCATGTGATTTTTCCAACTTCAGCTGTTTCAAAACTACAACTGTTAATTTCAGTTTTTAAGCATCTCGGATCCTTAGGGTAGGAATGAATTGCGTGGGGGCTGACGCTATGCTAGACCCAACAAGCACTAAGCCACATTGTTTGCAGGATCTTAATGTTCATGCAAAGGACTCAAGTGCCTTGAAGAATTATTATTCCTATGCCCCCTTGTCACATGGAATGCTGTCAGTGCATTGAAAACAGGAGAAAAGAAGAAGCAGAAAGCCTTGTGTGTGACCTTCTGCCACCTGTACCGTCAGATGTTGGAGGTGACTGAGTGCAACTCATCTTACACTGAAGATTCATGCTTCTGCATGAGGAGGATGGAGAGATATTCCTGAGTTTCTTAAACTGTCAGTTACCCACTGTGATCTTGCTGACCTTCCTGCAACCTTGATTGATATTTTTACTGACATCCCTTCTCTTCCTTCCAAATTTCTCTCTGAATTGTCTCCTGGAGAAGGCAAAGGAGTAGAGATGGGGGTATTTGTATACTGATATCCCTGCACAGCTGGAGTTAACAGGGGTCGAGCCCCTGGGGGCCGGATGGTCCACTCACACATCCAGTGGTGGCAGAGGCCCCATTCATCCTTCCAATAGCTTCTGAGCGCCATTCTGTTCCCGGTCGGCTAGCCACCCCTGGCAGAGGACGAGTCTCCCTACAAGGCTACCGAGGTGCTAGCTGAGTGGTGCTCCTGAGTGACTGGAAGGAAGACAGTGGCCGCCGGCGGATGCGTGAGTGGATGGTCTGGCCCCAGGGGCCAGACCTTCATTAACTCCAGCTGTGCAGAGATATTCATATTCATATACTAATGCCCCATCTCTATAGAGGAGACATTCTGACTTCGTTTTCAAGCTGTAAGGGACAATCATAACTTTTTGAATCTTCATCTTCATTAGTCAGAATTAGGCTCTTTTTTTTTACCTCACTGTATTTCTCTAGTATATATTAGTATACTTATTTTCCTGTAATAAAATATTTGGATGTGATTTGTTTCTAAAGAGGGAAATCTTTTCTGCTTAAACATGCCAATATTCAATGGCTGAATTCACAAGTTAGCTTAGCTTCTGCTTGCTCTGCTAACAGGAGGTAAAAGAGAAAGGGCAATGGGTTAGGAGGAAATTTGAGGCCACGCAGACAGAATATTGAAGGGAAGCATATATATGGGAAGGTAATGAGTGGCATCTGGAATTACTCTGAGGAAACACACTTTTTAAAAACATTATCAATTTATACCCTTATATCTTACCATAAGTACTTTCAAACAGAGCAAGTTAGTTAGTTTGCTGCACTAGGTTTGAATCTAGCTGAGGAGAATTCAGGGACTACTATTCAGAACGTGTCTTCACTACACATATACCGTATTATGAGCATGTCATATATCTTGAGGATTTTGGTGAAGGTTTTTGTTTTGTTTTTTTGTTCAGAATTACAGAGTATCTATTCTAAACACTAGATCCCATACAATTAGTGCAGAAGAGCCGCTTTATTCATGGAAAAACAACCACCAAATAGGATTAAAGACAAGTCTCTGCCAATCCTGTAATAATTCTCATAAAGCTTGAGGGATGTTCTCTGAGAAAGCAGAATAAATTCTACTTCAGGCTACTTCAGTAATGAATGCACATTACTAATTAAGCTGTTAGAATTTTAATGTTTTAGTAAATTTTGTCCTCATTCACAGGAACAAATACCAGTATGTTTACAGAGGATTAGCTGCAGTATTATGTCTGGTGTAGTAAGTCTTTCATTTATCTATAAAAATAAAAAGTGGTGCTCTATTTATGTGGCTGAAATATGGACAGACTGTGACAGAATGGAATATCATTAAATATGGAACGATTACTGATACCACATACATAGGGCAGGGGTAACCCCAGTGCTAAGTAACTTGAATGAGGGGAGTCAGATTTTGTTTTTAAATGAAAAGATACCTGGATTCACCTTCTGCAGAAGATTTCATGCATCACTTACTAGAGTTGGTTGTTAAGAGAATTTTAGTAAACAACCCTCATCAGCTAGGAATAATTGTAACAAGCCCTATATATTTGGTTTTTAACTATAATTATTTTATGCTTTTTAAAGCATCTGAAATACTCAGAAGAGCTGAAAGCTAATATGCTCCCGTCAAAATGACCATAATGACCAATTGAGCAACAAAAGTTGCTAGCCTAGATTAAGGTAAGTGGCCCATGGATGAATGCTACCCCAAGGATATATATAAATCTTTTTAAGAGGTGATGACAACCTTCATTTATGTTTCTGCATGACACTCTCTTTGTCCTTTTACCCTTCTGCTTCCCTGCTTTTTCAGACTGCAGAGAGCTGTAAGGGGTGAGTCGTCCTGTATTCATTCTGAACCTCAGCTGGTCCCCTCAGCATTCCTTTTGGACAATCACAAACCTGTCAGCAGTGATATTTTGACACGACAGACTCCTCACTCACCGACCTAAGGTCCCCAAAGGCTTTTCCTGGACAAAGGGAATCCCTAGGGAGTCTCAGAAACCGAAGAGGGTGGGTGGATGGGAGTGGGAACTCTTAACTAACCATAAAGAGCCCCAAGATGATGACATGGTCTGCCTTGCATATGTGGAGCTGCACCAGCAGATTTTTCAGCCATTGATTCAAGTAAAGGAGTATTAAAAACAGAAAGGGTAATGAGCAAAAAGGGCAAAGCAGGTAATTTGCAGGGTAAACATAAGACAGAGTTGTTTTGTTTTTTTAAAAAGGACAGTTCAATATGAATCACGTGGGGCTTACCTTACAGGAGCAAACAGAGCATCTGTCTTTCTTCAGTGTCCATACCTGGCCATTCCGCTTCAAGCCTCCTTCATGTGGGCAATCACCAGTACAAGATGGTCCAGAGGGACAGAGGCAATCAAATCCTCCTGGTAGGTTCACACAGACTGAGTCATTCCAACAGGTGTGAGTTCTTAAGGCACATTCATCGATATCTGTACAACACAAAGGATTTTTTGGGCTTCAGCAAACCAGATAAGTCATCCCTACCAAGAATGAAATAGTTACTGAAGAACTGCGATCATAAAAACAGTGCCTACACTTATTATCCTTAGAAGGAAGACAACTGTTTGCAGAGCCATGTTAGCTTGAAAGGGAATGTTTTTTTTAAAAAAATTATTATTTATATATTTAACTTATATGCCGCCCACACTACCCAAAGGTCTCTGGGCGGCTTACAACAATTTTGAGGCTATTCCTCAAGTCAAATTATAATATGGGCAGTAAAAATAAGGAACAGCTTCGGCAAATGCCTCCAATATATTATTAGAGCACTTTTTGGATATTTAGTTGTTAAGCACTGATTCGGCTATCAGGGGTGTAAAGGAAGGATGTCAGAGAGGGGAAAAAGCCCAGTTGTTGTTCTTAAATAGAGAGCAAGAGCAAATTATACTGACTGAAGCCATACATTATTCTCAGTCATCCACAGAAATAGGAAGTAGGAAAGAAAATGATAAACCTCTACATGAACAAAGTGATATTTTTGCTAAACACCAATCATAGGATTTCCTAAGTTGGAGGGAAGGAACACAAAAGAAAGAAGTGGATGTGCTTTGTGAAGGAAAAGGAAGCCATTCACTTCAGGGGAAGGAGAGAAAGAATTGTGGTACAGAAGTAGAATTACAACACCTGCCAAGGAGAAGAGACTAGAGAGAACATGGCATTAAAGACAGCTGATTAAAAAAAAGTTTAGGTAGCTCAGAGATACCTGGCTGGGTATCAAGAGTTCAATTCCCCACTGTGCATCCCAGAAGAGGCAGACTGTGTGGCCTTGGGCAAGCTGCAAAGTCCCAGGTAATCCCAAGAAGAAGGGAATGGTAACCCCCTTCTGAATAATGTCTACCTAGGAAACCCTCAAAGGGTTATCGTAAGACAGAACTGACTTGACGGCATTATTTACATCAAAAGCAGACAATTCTATCGCATAAATCTATTCCCTTTCAAAAATGACCCTCCTTCAGTGTTGCATTGATTATACACCTAAGCACTCATATGTACTATTAATACCTATACATCTGCTTGCTATTAATACCTATACATCTGCTTGCTACGTTAGGTATCTGATCTATGATCTGGCACATGTTCCCCAATGTTACACTGTTCATATAGGTAGGCCATTTGTGTGAGTAGTTAAATGCACAGGAGAGGAGACATGGCTAAAATCATCGTACAGACATGGCAAAATAAAACACGGTGTCATTTTTATGTTTTCCTGTTCTTCCTCTGTTAAAAAAGACAATGATCTCCTGAAGGTGGAATGTGGTTGTAGACATGAGACAGACAAGCACATTTCATGTACAGAGTAAGCGCAGATTTTAAGCCTGCATTTTACCCTTGTATTGCCTCCCATGGACACCCACAGACATCTTTACGGTGATCCCCAAAGCACGCTGTTGGTCCCGGGAGTTGCTCTTTGGAGCAACTCATCTCACCCACCTATAGTTTTGATATTGTTCAAGGGATCATCCTTCCCTTTGGACCTGGTGGCTTCCTCACTGCATATGGCATACCAATGGGTTAGGGTACTTGTTTCCCCCTATTTGCAGATCTGTATGTGTATTAATAAATGCGGCAGTTAACTCCAGTTGCTGGTGCCTTCTGTCTTTATTTCCATCCTCGCAAGTGGCACAGACAAATTAGTTTAGAGCCAATTACAGTCATTACTGGAGTAGTGCTTGCTCTTAAGACAAGAGCCACTCACAACTGTAATTCTATAACCAAACCCTTATTTACAACTTCTGGGACTAGTCTGATTTCCAAGGCAGGTGAGGAAATGAACACATACTAGCCCAGTAGTAGGCAATGATTGGACATACAAGAAATTAGATACTCTGTTTTTCCTGACTAAAGTGACCACTCAGCCCATCATACAAAAGCAATAGAAACCTACTTCAGCACCCTTTGATTTCCCCACCCCCTTCTTTTCTGGCTGGGAAAGCACCACTGAATCCAAACGTAAGGGGAAAAAATTGAACAAGACACAGACAGACAATTCATGGAAAGCTGTACATATGAAGAAACTGTAACTGAAACCCACAGTTATAAACTAAAGGAGACAAAAGGAAAAGATTCACCAGTTATGGTGTATTCAGAGTTCAACAATGTTACTTCTGCTGTGTGTAAGATCTCACAATTTCTTTTAACAGAGGGCCTGGTCACATAGCCAAAAAACCTGGGATTTGACCTGTGTTAAAAACCGTGCTAAGGTTCACATTCACAAAATGAATCCCAAACTACATACAGTATGTATTTTCCTCCAATTCGTATTATTTTCTTAGGAAGCAAGTTAAAATAAATGGCCAACAGAGGGGCGATTATTTTAGCACACTGTCTTCTTAAATAACTTAAGCCCAGTGTGAACTATAGAGCCAGGAGCATTTCAATTATTCAGAAGGAATGTGGGAAATGACTCAAAAACCACATGACTTAAGCGGGCTAAAATTAAAATGCTACATATGGGTTTTCTGAGAAATGTAGAACCAGCTCTTAGTTTCATAAAAGGGACGTGGTGGCGCTGTGGGCTAAACCACAGAAGCCTGTGCTGCAGGGTCAGAAGACCAGCAGTCATAAGATCGAATCCACGTGACGGAGTGAGCTCCCATCGCTTTGTCCCAGCTCCTCGCCAACCTAGCAGTTTGAAAGCATGTAAATACGAGTAGATAAATAGGTACCATCTTGGTGGGAAGGTAAAATAGCGTTCCCTAGTCATGCTGGCCACGTGACAATGGAAAACTGTCTTTGGACAGGCGCTGGCTCTATGGCTTGAAAAGCAGGATGAGCACCGCCCCCTAAAGTCGGACACGACTGGACTGAAAATGTCAAGGGCAACCTCTTAGTTTCATGAGAACCAATGAGTACCTTAACATTCACCGGCATAAATTTAAATTGAGAATGCCAATAAAAATAAGTAGCTGACTTACTCCAAGACAAGATAGCAAACCTAAACTAATATATTATGGAAACAAACCAAGGAGTCCTGTTTACACATCTTTTTTCTTTAATACAAAGGGCACAATTAGGCTTCCTGGGTATCTACTGAAAATAATAACATTACAATATTGGGAAGTAGCACAACAATTTAGGAACCTATTCAGTGTAACACCACACACCTTGTATCATCATATGCATTAATGTCCTTATGCATGACAACATGTAAAATAAGCATACAGAGATGGAATTAACCAGAAATTAATACATTCGTTTTTCATATTTTTCATAAAAAGGAGAGTTGATCCATTTATTCTCTTGCAAATGTCATAAATGCTTATTTAGCCATAAAATTCATCTGGAGTTGAACAACATGATAACTTGGTGGAAAGATTAAATAAATTCTTTCCTATTCTTCAAATCCAGCATGCCCCCAAACTCTCCTTAATACACAGGTTTTGCCTCCGTTTACAACAATATTCCCATTACAAATTTCTTGTTTCCTGGAAGACCTTCTTGGCAAGGATTATGTTGCTACTTCACTTGTAACAAGAGCCATAGCCAGAATTTGGTAATCTTTTAAAGACATGTCATTGTGTAAATCCTTAAACTCCATTACTTTTTCCCTCTTGATTTTCCATTTAACAAAGCATGGAATTGGAAAGGAACATGGCAGGTAATGAAAAAGTGGCCTAGTGCCTTAAAATCAAATCTCATGTTCAAGTATGTGTCAGTTGCAACACAACTGTGGAAGGAAAACACTGTAACAACAATAAAATAAAGGCCATGAACAGGCTAATGGAGAAGTTATGGTTTCTAAAAGAAAAAGACAAACTAGCTGCCTTTAAAATATCTCATTATCACTTATCTTTTCAATGTTCTTACACTTGCACTTTAGGCTAAATCGTTAGTTTAAAATGTCACTGTACATGTTCTTTGGTGTTTTTGCTCTCATAAGAGGTAAACAATGTTCTTTCCCTCCTACATTAAGACATTTGTGCCACGCATAACATATGCAGCAGGGTTAACAACATACTTTATAGATTAGAAATGGAGATTACACAATGTAGAACTAAAAGAATTTCAGAGATGAATATGGGGCTATATTGCACCCAAAGTTCCATATAATTGCTTTACTTGCAACGCAGACTCTTATTCTGCTTCCGTGCCATTTAACAGATTTATGAGAAGCCAGATGTTAGCAATTATGGAAACTAACATCATTCATATTCTCACTACAACAGACCTGTTTGCACTGCAAAACCTGACTTAATCTATTATACATATATTGAAAGGAGAAGAGGTAGCTTATTTACATACCCCCAAACACTTCCTGCTGAGAGCACATAAACAGCATTTCCACCAACTAGTGCCAAAATCAGCAAACTGGTCAACTAAGCAAATGATCAATAAAGAAAGTATCCAGCACTTTTTCATGGTTTTGTCATAACTTCTATCATCCTGCATGCAAAATATAGCATATTATTTTACTGCTTATATTATTTAGAATCACAACCATTACTGAAATGCAAGGCCCAGGAATTGGGCTATCAGTTTTCTTAAATACACAATCCAATAGCTCTAGCCTTGTTTAAATGTTACCTTTACAGATGGATTCACCATGCTTTCAATGGAGAGTCAAGCTTCTCTTGACTCCATCTCTTTCAACACATGGAAAGCAATGCAGCTGCACAGAACAAATCTCTTCTTATATGCGTGCCCTTTAACCAGAAGTCCTAAAATAATGTTTGTATAGAATAATTGTTTTATTGTTTTTTTAAAAAAAATCCTTCTCAACAGAATTTTTGGTGTCTATGTTGGAACAGCTTGCCTCATATTAGACCACAATTTCCAAAATGATTATGGCCACTCATTGTCTATGTGGTATGATAAGATTTGGGTAGTGCCAATTGTAGGAAAACTTACTTATTTCAATAGACAAGGGAAAAGTCAAGCAGATATTTTTCATTTTAGTTGGTATCCATTGATTCAGTATACTAGTGATGAA